CATGGACCTAAAAAAGTAGATGACTGTGTGGAAATACAGAAAAAATAAAGGTAAATGTTAACTGTAGGTATGACTTGACCTACTTTGCAAGATGATCTCCATCAAGACTGTAGTTTAGGCTTAATCTACAAATAGGACCAATACAAAATCCTCAAAGTATCTTAACAAAATAACTTATTCCAAGTAGCAATATTTGCCTCTTCAACCTCTATAGCACAATATGGTTCTGAATATGGTTATGATGGGGAGGAAGAATGAGATTCCAATAAACTATTAAAAAGTGGGACACGAGGAAAACTGTCAGTCACCACTGTGCAAGAACCACACCAAGAAATAGAAACCACATCAATCCTAAAACAGTGTTATATCCCATTAACAGTACACCCAAAACACTTTAATCAAGCAGATTAAAAAAATGTAGATGTTTGACAAACAAGTTACAAAACTTTAAGTATTGATAAAAAAATTTTGGCTGCCAAGCAAATAATACTAAGTCATGTATTCAGATTCCTCAAAACTTGACGATTTTCTCCATTCCTGAAGTCATGCTACAAAGACAAGGATCTAAAGGCTGATATACATTACAGCCACTGCCTTGAAATTAAAGAGATCACTGTGGGACATATAATTGAGGTATCTGCTGCTAGTTCCAGGATGGTGGAGCACTATTAATTGAACCAATCAGGAGCAAAAAAGGAAGTCATCTCTCGTGGTAAGAGTCTGACTAGAATAAGGGACCAATAAACCAAGTTATGTCTCTGATGTCTTGATTTCAGATTTTAAGAAATCATTAATGGATATCACCATTTAAATAGATATCCAGAAACAGAACTGTGTGAGATGATCTCTTTACTACATCCAGTTATACTCTAAATCTTAAGGATTTCTCAGTAACCTCAATGGATGCCATTCCTCTTTATTATAGTAAGAGGACTGGATTGTCAGACATGTTTGGAATTCTTGCTCTTTTAAGAGTTCAGATTTGCATGCCTGGATGGTATGAGTAACATCCTTCATTTCCATGGCACCAATGCACATTATTATTATTTTTTTTTGTATTTAAAGTGTAATGAATTATCAAGCTCAAAAAAGTGAACTGTTTAGAAGGTGGGTTTGTTTTAGAAGGTCATCTTGGTGAAAGATCCAGATTATCCTGGGCGAACACCATTACTGGATCTCATAGTTTGTTGATACGAGAGCTTGATGGGTCAAAGGCTTATGAGTGGTAACAGCAAAGAATTCTCTCATACGTAACTTGAAGTAGTGATGGTACGATAGCCATCAAGTCTTGATGAAGATAGTTACTGTGAAATTTTTACAGAGATGTTACAGGTAAGAGAAGTATTTTTCCCGCTGGTGCCCACAGCAGACCTGTGACGTCTAGTCATCCCACTAGAAACAAACTGGATTTGCAAAACCAGAATTCCAGTTCTAGATATACAGCTTCATGGTTGATTCTGAAGTCTCATAGGGCTTGAGAGTCTCATAGGGCTCATGGACTCTTAGTGAGTTGATCATCCTGATATAAAGAGATTACAACACATCTGTCATTTTGTGAAGATCTGACAAGTAAAGCCTGAACAAGGAAGCACTGATGACCTAAAAACAAAGGATTTGCATCTGTGTTAAACAGAGATCTAGTAAGTAGTACATTATTTCCAAGCCCGAAATCTGCTAGTCCTCAGTTTACCAACAAGATTTTCCTGAGGAACAAATCTTTATATTTTCCTTTAATCACAAGAGGATTCAGATTCCTGAGTACCTTCCTCTGGGCTTACTTTGAACCAGAAGTAATGGGTAAACCTTTGTCCAACCCTACTTAGAGGAAAAGTCTCTGCTGCTCATTTGGCCAATGAAAGATGATTCTCTTTATTATATACTTCATTCCAAAAGTCTAGAATTTAAATGTCAGCTGTGGTAATTCTAGACATTCACTCAGTTTTGGAGGTGACCTCCTACCTGTAAATCCTGTACAAGTCAGGAAGAGCAAATAAATACTTAATATTTTGGATGGCTATACTGCTGAACATACACAGGCTATTAATTCTTGTACCCATGGCGTTCTGGAGATTCTCCCTTTTTTCTATATCTATACGGGTGATTTCGGGGTTTGTACCAATCCCCTTTCGAGTACCCTCTGTTGTGATAATGTGCTTTCTGATCATGACTGTAAAAATATCGATGTTGGTTATAGTATTTGCTGTGGTCTTTATAGTCATTTTCTTTTATACTATTTTCTTCTGCAACAACAGCATTCACATCTTGTCCAAAAAGGGAAGTGCCATCAAAGGGCAAGTGTGAGATCTTCTCCTGGGTTTTCTTAGTAAGAGATGTAAGTCGGAGCCAGGCTTGCCTTCTGTAGTCCACTGCCATTGCCATAACTCTGACTACAGAGTCCATTATGTCCCTAGTAGTACAAAGCTGCCAAAGGCCTGCATCCATACCATCAGATATTATACACCTTGCTTTTCCACGATCAAACTCTGGGTCATGGACCAGATCCTCCATGTCTTCCCAGAGTTTACGCTGATACTGAGTCATATAGGCCATGTAGCTAGCAGCTCGGGCTGCAATGGAAGCAGCATGGTAGAATCTACAACCCATGATCTCCATTTCTTTTGAGGTAGAATCTAGAGGAGATGTTGTGCTTCCTCTTTTGCTATGCTCTAATGCTTCTACAATGGGGCCCTCAGCTGGAGGATTTGGTTGGAAAGGAGAGGTATCCTTGGCCACAGGATATACCCTATGTCCCATGAAAGAAGAAGGATGGCAATCAGCAGGGTCTTTAAAAACCTCAGTGGTGGCAATTCTCAGAAGAGGATGCAATGGAGGAACCAAACGTTTTTTAGAGGTCACATAATCAGGTTTCCCGTCACATGATTCTCCTTCAGATTGTAATGTTACTCTCTTTATAACACCTCTCTGTTCCATTCTCTTCAAAAGACCTGTGAAACTAGTCTGACTAGGGTCAGCTGGCTGCCCTTTATCATCAGCTGAGGGGGATTTGCAGTCAGCTTCTTCTTCAACTGTGGATAAATTTTCTTCCTTGGAGGTGATGTCCCAAGGAACTGAGGAGTTCTCACTTGGCCTAGAATGATGAAATCTGAAACAACTCCTGGACTGCAGATCACGTATCACTCGGGACATCTCGGCCACTTGTGTCTGGAGATACAGGAGGGCATCCTGTCCATGCTGTGAGGCTGAAGACTCTGGAGATAAATCCTCCTTGACCTCTGAAGAGGCCAAAGATTCTTGGGGGACCAGAAGTGGAGATGAAGGCAGAGTCTGATAATTTTGTGATGGTTTAAGTGTCTCTGTCTCAGAGATCTTAACATCGGAATTATTTTGATCATTTTTCTGGTTCTCCAATGGGTTCTCAACAGAAGAAGGTTGAGAAACTATCCTTTCTGGACTGCTGGTGCAACTCCCAGAGGAGCTGCTCTTTCCAATGGGAAGAGGAACACTGCAGCTAGAGCACATTTCTGGGCGATGATTCTCAGAGGATGGCACCTTAGACTCAGGCATTCTCTGGGTTATCCACATGAACAAGAAAACCAAGGAAGAAAAAAAAATGCTTTTAATATGTTAATTTTTAAGTGCAGAGATGCATGTCCAGTAAGTAGAAATCAATTTTTAAAAATTATTATAATTAACAATGAAAGACGCAATCCACTATAGGTCAGCAAGGGGATCCCAGAAATCAAATCCAGAAGCTTCATTTTCCCACAGACCCAATACCAATCAACGGCATTAATCTGGCACTCTGTCTCTGAAAAAAGAGAATATAAACAAACACAGTGGTGCCATCCTGGCCTGCTGCTTGGTCCTATGCTGGGATAAGAAAAGGTGTTGAGACCCCTGGTGATAATAATTTTTTTAAAAATCCCATTTAACGTATTTAAGTCAACAAGTAGGAGCTAATAATTGCAGCAAGAACTTGGGGAAAGTTTCACTGAGAAAAACTGTTTTTTCTAAAAGTCCTCCATTGTAGAATCACTTTTAAACCCCTCTAAAAATTCTTTCACTCAGTCTCCATGAATAACAAAACTTTTCCAGTTGCACAGTCCTACTTCGTGGTTTTCAAGGAGCTTACATATATTTTTGTTACCTCATTTCATCCTCACAACAACCCTGTGAGGTAGGTACTTTTCTTATTTGATAAAGAAACTAAGGTTAAAAAGCTACTTAATTTATCCAAAGTGTCAGAATTCATACGGAGTAAAGCTGAGAATAAAACTGAGGTATTTTGATTCCAAGTCCAAGTCTCAATTCTCCATTATCACAAAACAAGAAGCTTCTGATCACCTTGAACAAGAACCAGGGGTTCTCTAATCCATCAAGTAAATAGCCTATTAATAGCAATTTGGGCTATGACAAATGAAAGACAAGATTGCTACAAAAGGCTCAGCTAGGTTTGGTTCTCAAAGTAAGGAAAGTATTAATTTAAGGGTCAAACCCACATCCAAAAAAATCATAGGCAAAAGAGAAAACTTCAAATACATGGGGGGTAGAGGAGGTTAAAAGATATGACAACTGATATATCACCTATAACCCTTCCCCACATGCCATTTTGTAAAGGATCTTCACATATCCTTTCTTCCAAGATAAATCAAATTTTCTGTGGCCACATGGTTCTGGATGAAAAGGATCCAGTTGTATAGGGCACCTGAAGAGAGATAGGAAAGGAGAAGGACACAGGAGCCAAAAAGCTTGCAGTTTTTATTCCATTTCCCTTTTATCAGATATCACCTCCAAGGCTTAGAACTTCCATGTGTCATGTCATCCTTTCACATCCTCACTGTGAGCAGAGGAACAACACTGCACGTAGGAGATATTCTGGGCAAAGAACCCCTTGGACCACTTATTATAGCCCATTCTAACAGTAATGGGCTATTCTGCAAAGCTCTAAACACAGTCACCCATGATTTGATAACTATCTTTAGAGAATGCCTCTTAAATGACATGAGTAAAGAAATGCAAATCAAATATAATGTACTTACATCACTATGAGAGGTGCTAGGCTCTTCATCATCACTGCTGACCAAATCAATGTATTCAAGAACAGGTCTTAATGGTCCTTCCTATGAAAGAATTGAGCAAATTAACAAGTCATGAACAGTTATTCAAACTAAAATAGCATTTAAAACAATCACGTTTGTTGGCATTGGCAAGAATTTCTCTGAAGAGGATGCCTTATGGCTGGCAGAAAATAATCAGAATAAATGCAGAGAAAAATATTCAGAGTACGTATTGGGTTGGCCAAAAAGTCCATTACATTTTTTCTGTAAAATAAAAGACTCATTTTTAATTTTCACCAATAACTTCATTGATTTGGAAATTTTGAGTACATCGGATATGTCCTGCTATTGACTTCTAGGCCAGGGTACAGCTAAGCATCTTCCAATTCACAAGACAGCCCCACAGCAAAGATCTGACCAAAACATCAATAGTACCAAAACACTTCGCAAACCACCTTTGATACATTGGATCAGTCACAGCACCTTCTCCATACACTACAGAAATCTTTTTTGTGTTTCAGTTGCGCGTTTACCTTTCTTGAAATAGTAATGCATAATACACTGAAAATGTTGCGCATGTTCTCCCATCTTCAATATTAAAATGGCTCCACAAAAATTCACCAAAATTGGTGAATTTTTTCAAGTTTTTTAAAAATGTACGCTGATAATGACAGCTGTCACAATATAATCTAACAAAATTGTTTCAAATGACGTTAAAGGCAACTAAGCAGACTTTTTGGCCAAACCAATACATGAATAAGAAATGATGACGAAACCTAGAAGGAAGAGCCTAATACCAGTAAGAGTAATAGAACTATGTCAATTTCTTGGGGAAAGGATTGTTAATACAGAAACAGGCTGTAAGGACATAGATGTTGTAATCCAATGCTTTTCAAATGGAACAGGTATCAATGATTTGTTAGGTATCCAAGCTTAAAATCCTGGAGTTCTCTGACCAATTGCTCATCTTTATCTCCAACTTCTATAGTCAAACATTAAACCTGATTCTTCTCCATCCTTTCTTTCCATCCATAACTGACTCTATAATGAACCAGGCCTTGAATGCTAGGCTTAAAATCCTTGATTTTATTCCACAGACAAAAAGAATCAATAAATACTAAAATGGAAGTAACAGCCCTGGACTTGTGTGGCTCAGTTGGTTGGGCATCATTCTGCAAAGCAAAAGGTCACTGGTTTGATTCCTAGTAAGGGTAGATGCCTAGGTTGCAGGTTTGGTCCCCAGTTGGGGCACATACAAGGGGCAATCAAGAGAAACAACCCTCTTTCTTCCTCCCTTCCCCTCTAAAATAAAATTTTTAAAAAAATAAAAATAAATTTGAGAGTTGTGCTTTAAGAGTAATCACATAAAGAAGTATGAGGAGTAGGGAAAGAAGAATAATTAATCAGACCAGACACAAAATAACGCAGAACTAAAATAGTTGTGATGTCAAGAGTATTGTTGTGGTTCATATACAAGAGAATACAAGGGTATAATGGAGGGGGGAAAAAAAAGACTGGCAATACAAAACAAAACCCCAACAATAATCAGAAGTCAAAATGGTCCCTAAGTTTTCAAACCTAGATGACTAGAAGGATACTAATGCCATTAATATAAATTTGGAATACAGAAACACAAAGCTGATATTCTTTTGCACATAGTGATTTGATATGCCAGTAGTACACAGAGGTATTTGGCAGAGAGCTGGAAATGCAGGCTTGTAATCTCAGTATATGAACAAAACTGAGACTAGAGATTTGGGAGTGGCTTCCCTAAAAGACTATTAGTTCTGGTTTTAAACTGAAACTATGTTGTTGCTAAGGAAGACAGCAAAGAGGAGAAAGAGATTCAAGAAGGCTCTTGAGGAAATGCTGGAATTTTAGAATTCAAAGAAAAGCTAAGTAGGAAATCGGAGATTGGAAAAAGAATCAGAGAATTCATAAACTCAAAGAAGCTAAAGACAGAATAAACCTCAACAAAAAGCTGTCAACATTAAATGAGGCCAAAACACCAAAAAAAAAGCCACTGATTCTGCCGACAGATTTTACAACGCCTTTGAGTGCACAACTGTCAAAAAAGTAGTGAGTACAGAAGCCATTCTATTAAAAAATTAAATAGAAAATAAAGCAGTAAAGGACATGAGTAAAGAATATTCTTTCAAAAATCTTGTATGTTGAAAATAAGAGAAAGGAACACAGGAGAAGAATATGGCTGAGGAAAAGATTTCTTAGGATAGAGAAAACTGACAGTTGGCAAGCCAAAGTGATTAATTCAGTGGGAAAACTTAACAGAAAAAGACAGGACTCTGGAGAGAGAAGCTAAGATCTAGTTGAAGATCCTCCTCCTGAAAAAAATATCCAGTCTCAAAGATAGCTTGTTTCTCCCCCTAGGCCAGTTTGTCAGCAAACATAAAATTGCTCTCCTTGCAGGTGGTGATCCAGCCACTAAGATAAAACCAGAAAGTAAAACTTCTGGGTAGGAATCATGTAATAAAGTAATTGGGATTTTTGCCTAAGCTGTAAAAATGCAAGTTTAAAAAACAGGAAAAGAAAAACAGATATTCTCCAATGTGTGGTCAACAGATGCATCTCCTACTCTAAGACTAAAACCTACCACTGGTATTAAGACTATCGAATCATATGTTTAATCTAAGAAGGAAGTAAAGGAGATAAAAAGTAGCTTCTACTGTTCATGTAATTACCTGAGTTTACCCTCTTCAAGAAATGTACATTAGATAATTTTATTAACATGACCACAGAATTTGCACACCAAACAAGTTTCCAGGTTATCAGAAATAGAGAGGTAGAGGCAGAACTTCCATGGACAGGTAGTAGGTACAGAAATAAGGGAAATGAAAGAAAGTATGTACATAACAGGGCTCAAAGTAAAAAGTAGAATGGGTAGGAAAAAACAAAATAAGGAAACTGGTCATAAACAGGATTAAAAAGTAAATGTAGAAACAGTGGAAGAGGCAGGATTATAAACAGTTGAGAAGACTACCAGGAATTTACTACTAGAGTGAACCGTGAGAATGATAGGCACAACTAAATAACGGCAGCTTCATATAATTCACACTAATTAAGAAGAACAAAATGAATCAGGGTAGGAGATCCAAAAGTGAGAAAAGGCAGGAGTCATTTAGAATATTTATTCATTCACTGAACAAATAGTTATGAAGTTGTGACAGAATGGCAGAAAGAGAAGACAAGTAAGGGTCTGAGACCTCCAAAAAGGCAAAGAGGCTGAGTGGAAACATAAGAGAAATATCCAAGAGGAAAAGATTATTTTATAAACAAATACTCTACATTTCAGCTAATATCCACAGTGGATATGGAAAAACTTCCACCATACTGAGGAAATCAAAACATTTTGATTCTGGATTTATTTTCCTAGTAATCCATAACATTTGCCCTTCTACCCTGTACAGGGATTGTGCTAAACTATTCATGCACATGATTTTATTTAATCTCCACAATTACTTGCAAAGGTAGAATACTAAATTACTATTACCCCACTTACAAATGAGAAAACTAAGTGAGGTACACCTGGTTCTCTAAACACATAATTGACTTTGTTGTCAAGGCAACTCTGAGGTATTCAAAATAGACATACATATGGACTATTTTTTAAATCCATACTTATTACCTAAGTTTCTGAGATAAGACATTCATCAATAAGGAAAAAAAGGACTACCTGCTATTATCCCCAACTCCAAATAACTCAAAACACTGACCAAAAAATAAGCTAACTCCCCCAGAAAAGCAATGTTTATAATACAAAGACCAAGAAGAAATAATTTCTTATATTTATAATGACTGTTTATATCCTAAACAACTATAAATGTACATGGTCCTCCATTTACAAGGTATTTTATTTGAATTTGCTCCATCCATCAACTAGTAAACCATCATTTTCACCTCCTCTGTAACAATAACAAAATCAAAGGCCACACAATTTAGGGACAGGAGTACAGACACAAGCAAAACAGACCAGGAACACAGCTGTATTAATGTGCTTAAGTTTTGTTGGTTGTTTTTTTTTTTAATTAAGTAAAGAACAGTTTCATTCCTGTTATTAGAAAACTGATTCTCAAACCAAAACAAAAGCACCAACTGCTTTCTAATTGGAAAGTGATGTCTATACACTAAGGTATGGTATACCGGAAAAAAAAAAAATTTACCTCAGTCTAAAACAAATATGGATTTAAGACAGATGTAAAAGCCTAATCTAAAACCCTAAATAATTCCATTTTTTTCCTATATAGAGAAGTTAGGGACATAGTTTACTCCTGCAGTCCTGCCTAGGTCAAAAATTTCAGATAGTTGCCAAATGCCCACTTTAAGTTCATATTCAGTCGACAATTCAAGATCAGTACTATCTGGACTATCATCCTTTCCTCTCACATTTGGAAAAAAAAATTTTACCCTCCAGAACTACACAATTACTACTTTCCCAATTTTGATGCCCTTCCTTATTTCTTCTTAAAATGACATTTTAAACACAAATACTAAATGCTATTTATGCCAAAGGAATAAACTGAAAGTCTTTTTTTATAGCACCTTGTACTTTTTATAAAAGAACTTCCTACTAGAACTATTTACATAGTTCTCCCCTATTTAATCTCCCACACTGAAATACTGATACTTATGGGTAGGGTATATTTCCAATTAATATTTATAGCTCTAATGTACCTAATTCATGACTTTGCATATTATGAGCTCCAACCTTATTTTTATTAAGCTCATTACAGTCCTAAAAAACCCAAACAAAAGATACTCTAATTTTTTTTGCCTATGACCCATTCTACTGCAGGTAAAATATTATATCACTTGACCTATGTGCTCAAGTTATTTATGAAATTGTACTTAATTTCCTTTACTATTTCCACATGTTCAATGATTCCACAATAAGCCAATAATCTTAGCTGAAATCTAAATCTCAGGTGCTGGTCTCAAGATTATGATAGGTTGCCTCAGCAATTTTTAATAGCTTTGTATCCAGAGGAGCACTGGGATAAATCAGGCCATCAGCTCTTGGCTAAAAGAGTTTTCTGGGAGTAAATTAAAATAACCAATTTCAAAGAAAGACATAAAGATGGCTGAATAAAGAGTCATACTACTAAACTAAACAGAAAATGAGAGAAAACGCCTAAATGAAGTTTGTTTTGATAACATTCTGTTTCTTGATTTGAGCGCTATCTACACAGGTACATTGGCTTTACAAAAATCAAACAGTACACTTATGAATTGTGTTCTATTTTATATTTTAATAAAATATTGGGTTGGCCAAAAAAAGTCCATTTAGTGTTTTCCATAAACTAAGACATTTTTTGTTTTCACCAATAACTTCACTGATTTGGATATCTTGAGTATGTCAGCTATGTCCTGCTATTAGCTTCTAGTGGGTAGAGAGGTCAGGGTGCTGCTAAGCATCTCCCAATGCACCGGAAAGTCCCACAGCAAAGATCTGACCAAAACATCAATAGTACCAAGAAACTTTGCAAACCACCTTTGACACATTCAATCAGTCACAGCACCTTCTCCATACACAAATCTTTGTGTTTCAGTTGCATTTTTACTTTTCTTGAAACAGTAATTAATGCACAATACACTGAAAATGTTGCATATGTTCTTCCATCTTCAATATTAAAATGGCTGCACAAAAATTCACTAATTTTGATACATTTTTTAGTAATGCACACTGATATTACAGCTATCCCAATACAATACAACAAAATTGTTTCAAATAAAGACAACTAAATACTACTAGAGCAATTGTATGGAAGAAACGTAAAGGACTTTTTGGCCGACACAATAAAACAAAGGGGGTAATTTTGAACCTTCACATTGATGTTTTTCCTTTCTTTCAGCGTGCTGTTTAGTTTCAGACTCTGTATTTTGCAAACCACAGAAAGTGGTTTGCTGCTGTGCACCATGTGGATCAAAGATGAGAAAATTTAATTAACGGCAAACTAAGAAATCCAAACCAGAATAAATCAAGAAATGATATCATAACGCTCTTTTTGTATCTGAATAAATTCTAAGCAGAGAACTGCTTATTATCTTTATTGGAGGAGTCAAGTATAAGATTACATGGCAGAAAGAAATAGAAGATTCCATCTCTAAATGTATTTTAAAATAGAATTAAGGTATCATTGTCATTTAAGTGTTATCAGTAAAAAGAGGGAATATTTTTAATAGGTTTTTTCTAGGATTGTAATTGCACTTGATACGTTTAATTCACTTCTCCATGTGGGAACTATCAAACCTTTAACCTATATTAGAAAACTGGGATAAATATAAAATGTTGCATCAAGCTGGATACACAAAACACTGATTGTGTATTTTTTTATTCTAGATGCATAGATTAACAGATTCTCTAGATTTAAAATGAAATTTCAAGAATATTTTTAAACTTCAATTTAATACAAGCTTCTATCAATAAACAAGCTACAATAGAATTCTTAATTCCAGAATACAAAAAAAAATAGTATTTTCCAAATCTTATTTTAGTGGATCCCACCTGTGACTTTCAAAGTAAGACACGTGGCTCATAAAGAAGTGTGCCATTCTTACTTATATTTACACAAATTATCAAGACATATACTCTCTATCCACAAATATATCAATGTTCAGGAAGACCTGAAATATTTGTCTTAAAGGCCATGGAATCCTGTTACCAAACACATTTCAGTACACAGTGACTGAGGGGGCAGGATACAATTCTTCTAACCGCCCTCCCCCACCCCAAAACCTTAAAAGTTTAAAATGAAAGAGTACCATACACTAGCACTGGAGAAAAAGCCACAAAATAATTTTGTGAAAGACTCCTAGACAAACCCATTAAAATACAATACAGTAATGGATCACCAAAATGGCCCTAAGGTTGGGATCCTAGATGACACTGTTTAATAACCAGTTTTACTAAGTTGCCCCAAAATGAATACAAATACACACCAGACAGACACTCTGTTAAAGAAAAATTACACACCTTTAATAGCACACCTCAACTAGAGTATTCAAAGAGTAGTTTAGAGTAAAGGCATTCTCTAGGTAACATACTACTTTATGCATAGTCCTTGTTTACTTTAAAAAATTGGGTGAATATCATCCCAAAATATGCCATACCCACTGTTTGCCTAAACCAATGCTTTACAAAGTGCGCTTCAGAGACTTTGTCCTTGCGTTTTTCCAAAATGAAGATTCCTAATTACTGAAGATTCCTGAAGATTACTAATGCTTGAAAACTTCCCAAGGAAATAAAGTTGGAAAATACTACAGAGTAAGTTCCTGGCGATGCAGGGGTCTTCACTATGAACATCAATTGTTGTTCTATGCTGTAACATCATGACCTCAGAGATAAGTGAGACCTTCCAGCTATCTGCCTCCAGGTTAATGAAGCTACCTAACGCTCAGGTTTGACTTCTTACAATCCTGTTTACTAGGTCCTTCCTCATCATTAGCTGTCCCTTCTCCCTCACCTGTGTCTCATCTCTTAGAAGATACTCTTGCCCCATTTCAGTACAGTCTTAACAGCCAGAACTTTGAGTAGATTGAGTATAAAATGGATCTGCATGAAGGCATGAGAAAAGTGATTAAGCGTACAACACGTACTTTGGCCAACAGTCTTCGTGATGGCTGCTGTGGTAGCTCAGAGACCTCTACTGGCCCATTTCCTAATCCTATGCCATGCTCCACACTGTCTAGTACCTTAGACATGCATACATATTTGTTGGTTGATGCATGAACAGGTGAGGTGTAGTCTCATAATTGCTTACCACGCAGGCAGGCTTTGACTAGGAAAAACTCAAATATCGTTGCTACTTACACAAACAAACTGAATATCATCTTCATTTTCATCCGTTGTGGACTCAGATGCTTCAGGCCCAGCTGGAGGAACGGATTCTATTATCTACAAAAATAAGCCAAAACATGCTTATCTGTACAGCCATGTATTTGCAGGAAGAGATTTTCCCAAAAAGAGCGAAAAAGGACGAGCTTTAAAGGAAATCTAACGGCACAATTCCACGCAAACCCGACCAAGAACAGAACTCGATGGAGTTGGATTATGCCTATGCATACGTGGAGCTGTAGGGACCAAACAGAGAAAACCAGTTACCGGCTTCTCTGAATTCCCTATCTGCTCAAGAATGAGGGATGCAGGCTCTCTACTGAACAGCAAGCCTGTCGGCTGAGCAGCGGCAACAAGAAACTCAGGGCTGGTGCTGGGGCCCGGGGGCGGCTAGGCGGCCATTGTTGCTGCTGGCTCCTGGTTCAGACCTGTACAGTCCCCAACGCCAGGCTCGTCTCGAGATGCTGAGGGTATCGCCCCACCGCTACGCCCAAGCACCAGGCCTCACACCCAACAAAACACAAAACCCTTCGCGGTTCGCCTACTCACCTCCGACCCTGGGTCTCCCATTTCTCCGACAGCCTAACTGACAGCACCACCGCTCCGGCTGTCCCTGCGGCCGCCGCTGTCGTTGTTGTCCCCGCCGACACGGCCACCGCCACGACCTCCCTTCCCGCCCAGCACCGCTTCACGCTGCTGTGACCCGCCCCTGCGTGAGCGCCGACGCTGGCGCTGCCGACGCCACCAGCGGAAAGAAGTGCAACACCGCTTTACAAGGAGGAGCGGCCAACTCTGGCCTGATTTCCTTCGGAGCCTCTTCCCACAGTCCCAATCTTCCCCACACCGCGCAGGACTCTGGGAATTGTAGTTCTCATAGTGACCGAGGACGCCCAAGCATCTGTGGAAAAAAAGCGGAAAAAACGCCCTCAAGGCACAGCGCATGCGCTTTGCTACGGTGACGTCACAGCAGTTCTGCGAAGTGGTGGGTGGGTTAGGTTCTATTTAATAGAGAAGGGCGGGGACGGGGATGTGAGGAAGCTTTCCGGTTGGGTTTTGTTCGGTTGTGGACGTGAAACTTACTTAAAGGCGGTATTGGAGACTACTCAGTTTTTCTTTTTCTTTTTGTTTCTTTCTTTTTTTTTTTTTTTAACGAAGGGCCAGGAATGTGGAGGTTTAGCTGAATTCTAAGATGAGAAAAGAAGTCTGACGTGTCTTCTTACTCAACTGCTCCCCAGCTTCAGTCTCCTAGACACAGCATGTAACTGATACAACCTAGGAAGAAAATAGAGGATCAGATCTCCAGCCTCAGGGTTACCTTGAAGAAAACTGGCAAAGCTAGAGCGCCCAGGGCCCAATAGGACAGGAAGCCGAGGACTAGATAACTTTATCACTAAGCCCTAGACCCATGATACTAACATGTACTTTTAAAAGATGTTCTCAATTATTACCAACGTAAAATAAAATAATTGACCTTTTCACAGTGTATACGCTCAAAAAAGCAGTCTATAAAATATTTCAGTCATGTTCGACTATGTGGGGTTTTTTTTTTTTCACTTAATGTTTCTGTGTTTTTTTTCACACCAATTTCCAAAGGTTTTGAAAAGAATTCAAGTTGGAAAATCTTTTTAAATCTTAGATTCCTGTTTTTATCTGTATATATAAAAAAACTACCACATGACCAAACTTACCTATGCTTGTAGTATTTATTGCTTAGTATTTGATATTTTCTACATTTCCATCAAGTGTTTTATGACTTCAGTTCCTTTTCTCCCTAGTTGGTTTGAGAAATTTAGAGGTAAACTGAGAATGAGAAACCCGCCTATTGTGTTCCTCAAAAGCTACATATAAATGTCTAAAACGTTTCAATGGCTAGGTAAAACTTGTGTTTAAGTTTCTCCTACTGTGCTGGTGAAAGTTCAGTGAAACACTTTTAATGGATTACAGGCAGGAGGAGTTCATTGGTAAAACTCTTGGAGAGCAAGCTTTATATGGCTAGAGCCCCAAAACACTCAAATCCTTCAATTCAGGTTTTGTCATTGCAAGGATTCATCCTGACGACATAATTTAATCTGTAGGAAAAGCTTTATTTAAAACATTTATCACAGGTTTTTTTCTCTAATAGCAAAAATTGGAAAACATCTAAATGTCTGATTGGGGAAAGGAATGGTTCAACTTTGGCATGTACTCTACCAACAAAACAATATGAAGTGTTTTTACCACCACTGAAAATGTTTAGCAAAAATTTCTAAAAGTATATTTCTCAAAAATACAAGATATATATAATATAATCAGAATCATGTAAAACTACCAAGCAAACCATGCCTGAAATAGGAAACCTACTTAAATAGTAAAATTTTCTCTCGGTAGCTGGACTATAAATTTATAAGAAAATCCTTTGAAAGCCTCTAACAGATATATCAGACATGCCTGTAGTTCCCACACAGCCATGTTTATTTAGGTTGATGTAGCAAAAAGCAACAAACCATAGTCAAAGCCTGGGAGTCTCTCAATCCTAGGAAATTTAGAAGAGATTGGGTTGGATGATTTTAAAGCCAGTTTTTGAAGTAGGGAACTGGTTAGAATTAGAAAAAGCAGAGTTGTTTGCTGATTGGTTCAGGATTCAAGATGGAGACTTAACTATGAGGAAATGGTTTTTTTATGTTTTACCTAGGATGCAGATCCATTATTTTGCTTTATGAGATAAGATCTTTCTCCCCCTCTCTCTTCTTTTTAGTATACTTATTTTATTGATTATGCTATTAGAGTGGTCCCACTTTTTCCCCTTCTGCCCCATCCCTCAGCCCAGTATCCCCCTTCCCTCCAGCAATCCCTCCCTCCCAGTTCACGTCCATGAGTCATACGTGTAAGTTCTTTGGCTTCTCCATTTCCTATACTAACCTTAACACCCTCCTGTCTATTTTGTACCTACCAATTATGCTTCTTAATCCCTGTACCTGTTCCCCCATTCTCTGCCCTCCCCCTCCAGCTGATAGCCCTCCAAGTAATTTCCATTTCTGTGAATCTGTTCCTGTTCTGGTTGTTTGCTTAGTTTGTTTTTTAAAGATTCAGTTGTTAATGGTTGTGAGTTGTCATTTTAATGTTCGTAGTTTTGATTTTCTTCTTTTTCTTAAATAAGTCCCTTTAACACTTCTTATAATAATGGCTTAGTGATGATGAATTCCTTTAGTTTTACCTTGTCTGGAAAGCACTTTAACTGCCCTTCCATTCTAAATGATAGCTTTGCTGTATAGAGTAATCTTGGATGTGGGTCCTTGCTTCTCATCACTTTGAACACTACTTGCCAGTCCCTTCTTGCCTGCAAAGTGTCTTTTGAGAAATCAGCTGATTAGTCTCGTGGTTAGTCCTTTGTAGATAATAACCCTCAGCCTTTGTCTTGCTTCTTTTAAGATTCTCTTTTTATCTTTAACCTTTGGCATTTTAATTATGATGTGTCTTGGTGTGGCCCTCTCTGGGTCCAACTTGTTTGGGACCCTGTTCTTCCTGGACTTCTATGTCTATTTCCTTTGCCAAATTAGGGAAGTTTTCTTTCATTATTTTTTCAAAAAAGTTTTCAGTTTCTTGCTCTTCCTCTTCTCTTTCTGACATCCCTAAGATTCGGATATTGGCACTTTTGGAGATGTCCCAGAGTCTTCTTATAATCTCATTTGTTTTTTTTTAATTCTTGTTTCTTCTTTCTTTTCCAGTTGAATCTTTCTTTCTTTCTTTCTTTCTTTCTTTCTTTCTTTCTTTCTTTCTTTCTTTCTTTCTTTCTTTCTTTCTTTCTCTCTCTTTCTCTCTCTCTTTCTCTCTCTCTCTCTTTCTTTCTTTCTTTCTTTTGTTCCAAATGGTTAATTTGAATCTTGGCTTCCTTCCCTTAACTGTTGGTTCCCTGTGGATTTTTGTTTATTTCACTTAGTGTAACCTTCATTTCTTCCCTTACGGTTTTGCCATACTCGATGAGTTCTCTGAGCATCCTGATCACCAGTGTTTTGAATTCTGCATCTGATAGGTTGGCTATCTCGGTTTCATTTGCTCTTTTTTGTGGGATTTTGTTCTGTTCTTTCATTTGTGCTGTATTTCTTTGTCTCCTCAGTTTGGCAGCTTCCCTGTATTTGTTTCTGTGTATTAGATAGAACTGCTTTGACTCCCTGTCTTAGCGCACCTGTTAAGTTGTATGGGGGAGAACCTTAGGTATTTGCCAGGGCAGGGCAACCCACCTCACCACTTTGTGGCTCTGTGTGGTGGGAGGGGTTGGCGAGGGGACGATGCCACTGCCTGTCTTCTGGAGGTTTGCCTGGCACTTGCCCCGTTTCTAGTCACATCACCCACTTGCCATATGCAACTGGCACCCTTCTAATTGTTGCCCTGGTGGTGATTCACAGAGTAGTGGGTTCACAGTCTGTACAGGTCCTTTAAAAGGACTCTTCTAAGAAACTGGCAGTTTCTTCCACCACCCCAACCACCACTGGTTTTTACAGCCAGTAGTTTTGAGGCTTTATCTTCCTGGTGCTGAAACCCTGGGCTGTGCAATCTGGCCTGGGGCTGGTATCACTTACCCCCATGGTATGTTTCCCAATTTTTATCCACCACATGTGAATGCAGGACACCCATTCCACCACTGCCCCCACTGCCACCGCTGCCTCTCCACACAACACCATGTCCTCTCGGCCCTGAATCTCGTGACTCTGTCCTTCCTTCGCGACTCCACCCCTCTTACCCGTCTGGATGAATATGGCTTCTTTAAATCCTCAGTTGTTGGACTTCCACACAACTTGATTTTCTGGCAGTTCTGGGTGTTTTTTGTTTTAAGGTTAGTTGTAATTCTTGTGGTTGCTAGAGGAGATGAAGCGTGTGTACCTATGCCTCCATCTCTACCAGAAATCTCTATGAGATAAAATCTAGAAGGGAGCTCATCATTGGATTTGATAACCACTCTAATTTAGTTGTCTTAGATTTGTCCTCAGTGACATAATAGATTTCCATGTCTACATTAGAGACGTTATGTTGATACTCTTCCTTAAACTCATTATGTAACAAAGAAGTAATGAATTCAACTTTTGTTTTCTATTGACTTTCTTGCTGTTCTTGTTTGATGACTATTTGTTAAACCATCTTCCTGAACATTGGCTGCACAGCAGGATTTAAGATTCTGGAGACCTGGTTCTTGCTAAGGGAATGCATCGTTAAGGCTTCATTAAGAATCATTATCCAATATTCATAAATCTAAAAAAAAGGAAAAGTATGGCTAGCATGAGCCTGTAACTTAAGGATCATTCAAGTTAGCCAAAGGCGTTCATGGATACACAGCAACAAATTTTGTTATACTTTAGTAAAAGCACAAATACTTCCAATGCAATTCTATTATTAAGAACTGTATTTGGTTTGGATTAACTGCTCTGGTTTTAAAACCTGGCAACTGGAATGATCTCTTTGACAATTTATGATAAAGTGAGAAAAAGATTTATAGGCATTTATTCCAAAAGAATATTCTTCCAGGAAGAAGATGGCTTTTTATGAAGTCAGTTGTCATCATCATTTCCTGGGAGTTAGAGGATAAGAACAGAGACTATTTGGTTCTGTAAGAGCATAAAAAACTAGTCTCAAAGTCTATAGAATCATTTATTTGTTCCTCTCATGTCTAGAATTCTGTGCAAGTGTTGTGCATAAAGAAAATAAGCCTGTTGGAACACAAGACAAAAGAGAGTGGCTTATTTCTGTGCTTGGTTTGTAAGCACAAGGCACTTTTCTCATTAGAGCAAGCTATGTTAATTACTCCTTTGGAATATGGACATTTTCCCTTCAG